CCACTGAATCTAATTTAGATTTGAATGTTGAATGATCTTAACAAATATATATGGACATGACACTTAATTTATACTACAAACAAACCGAATAAATTCGATGAAATTAATTTGAATTAGACTGTTAGCACTAGTTTAACTTAATTCTATAAATTTAATGTTTGAGCATTTTTATACTTTGTCAAAAGTAAACTAAGAATACATGTGTCTCACATAACCTATTGATACTGAAGCTATTATCCTACAAACGAAGCCTAATCATGTATTATACTTAGTTACTTTCAATACTTAATTAAAATTATAAATGTTGCAATTTTAAAAAAGAAAGTCATTTTTTTATGGTTTTTAAACCACCAAAGTTAAGACAAGATATTTTCAAAATCATGTTCAACATATCAAATTTTCAAAAAGAAAAAAAAAACATTTTTCATAATCAAACTTATATGTATGAACATTTAAAGAATTGGGTTATCAAAATCATAAGTTCAATTCTAATTAATCCTATCATATCAAGAAGATACTATCTTAGATATTTGATAGTGACAAAGAAAATTCAAACATGATTATAACAAATGAAATACTTGGAAAACATTAGAAAGGAAAGTTGAATGGTATTATAGGAAAACTTTTCGTCAAAAGGTGATTTAACAATCTTATTAAAGATTAAATAGTTTATATAAGTTATTAAACACTTGAGTTAAAAAGTTTTGTTTAAACTGCAAGTTCCAAAATAAATATTTTTCAATTGTCTAGTTAAATATACAATAGTGTTTTGAGAAAGATAGCTCTTAATAAGAATAACATTTAGTGATAATAACTTTTATAAACAATTGATATAATAAGTGATTGCAAAGTTTGTATGGAAAATGTTTAACAAGACTGAAGTAATAAACATACAGTTATTTTATATTGGTTCACTGAAGCAATAAACACACAAGATTACAATTGACTATTGATACCACTTCTAATTAGTGTTGTCAAAATGGGTTGTAACTCGCGGGCCAACCCGGCTCACCACGAGTTTGTGTTGGGTTGGATTTGAGTCGGGTTGGGTTTGAAAAAATATAATTTTTTTATGCGGACTACTTTTTAACCCAGCTCACTTAGAACCCGGCTCACCGGGTTGACCAACCTAATTTAATTTAATTATTTATTATTTTGTATTTCAATATTATTAGTTAGCATTTTTTTATTATATTGTAGATGGTGATTAAGATGTTTCAAAAGAGAAAAATATTATAGATTTATCTATTAAAGACTCTATTATTATAAATGGAGAAGTGATACAAAAATTATTAATATTAAAAACTTATTTGTTTGCCTTTTGTACATGTTTTTGGATTACACTTGGATTGTATGAAATTTTTTTTATATTCTGAATTATCTTTGGATTTTAACATCATTTTAGTATGATGTTTATTTAAATTTGATTTAAAAGAAAATTGAATTTGTTTATTTTAAAAAACTTATAATTAAATGAGCTAGTGAGCCAACCCGTTTAACCTACCAATCCGTGGTGGGTTGGGTTCGAATTTTTTCAGCTCGCTAATAAGTGAGTCGGGTTGGGTTGGCTCACTAAGTGACAACTCATGGTGGACCGGGCTAGGTCGAGCCGAGTTATCCGTTTTGACAGTTCTAGTTCTTGTATCACCTAGTCAATCCTAGTAATCCCTGCTACTCTAACTAGAACCAAGTATCACTCACTCCTTGTTGCTCATAATTCTTCACCCCTTCAGATATCCCTAGACAATACCCACTCTTGATTTTATCTAGACAAACCCGTCTAGCTACCGTTTAACTAGACGGGTTCGAATTTTTTCTACTCGTTAATAAATGAGTCAGGTTGAGTTGATTGACTAAATGACCAACCGGTGGTGAGTCAAGCCGGATTGGACCGGGTGGCCCGTTTTGACAACTCTGATATCTTGTGTATCTGTCTTTGTTAATTTATTATTATTAATGATAATTTAATTTTTAGAAAATAAAATACCTAATTACACATTTTATATTTTGTTATTATCATCATTATTATTATTAATATTTTATAGTTATTAGCATTCAAATGTTTTATTCAGCTTATTTAATATCCTCATTAATGTCTCTCGTAACTGTCTTGTGAAACTGCGGAATAAAGTATAAGATTTATTTCAGTTTTTGTTTGTTGGTGTTAAGTCTTAATTAGTCTTAAAAAGTCTTAATTAGTCTTAAAAGAATCAACAGACACATTAAATCACTCAATTAAATATACAACTACGTTATTCTAAAAAGAAATACCATGTGTTGGAATTATTTTGATATTGTACTCTAGTCTTGTACCACAAGACCTTTTAATAAATTAATTTCTGAACAATTTTGCATAAATTTTCATATATATGCTCTATCTTGGATACTTTATATTTTATCTTTTAATTTTAGAATAATATAAAGAGTTGAATCCATAATTTCTTCATTCTTCCTTCTAATTTTATCACCAAACCGTATTACTCCATGTAATAAGTCTTCAATGAAGAATTATTTTTAACACTTTATAAAAACAAACAAAGTTTAATAGAAAAGGTATTATACACAGTAATTTTGTTGCAGTAAGGATGTTCCTTTTTTAAAAAAAAAATGATAAAACATTTAGAGGGATTTTGAAATGTGTAGGATAGACCATAATGGTAGCGATCTAATAGACCATTCAAAAATATATCCTGTTGATAAGATCTGTGTTTAAATTTAACACTAGTGCTGAAAGACAATTAATAGACTAAAAAAACAGGTGTTTAAGAATTCTTAATATTTTAAAAAATGTTACTGATATTTTACAAGAATAGGTGTCTAAACATTTTCAGTAATTTAAAAAAATGTCACTGCTATTTTATAATATTTTATTTTAGAGATAAATGTATAGACTTTGTGATTCCATGATCCTTAAAATCGTATGGACAAAATAAAAAAAAATTATAATAGGGGGGGGAATTGGAAGGTCCACTGAAGTTGATAAAAAAAAATTATAATAAATCAAAAAATTAATTTATTAAAGCAAGAAATGTCAATTATTTTAAAATAATGGGTTAAATATATTTTTAGTTTATCAATTTGGATCTAAAATTAAAATTTGTGTATCCTTTGATACATTTTGGTTTTCAAACTTTAAAAATAATACATAATCCAATTTCATTCAATTTGTTTGACGTATTAAACATGTTTTAGATGATGTTTGAGTTGATTATATTTTTTTAACACATTTAAGCTCAAATTTTAGCTTGTAATACTATTTAACAAATGAAAAAAATTAAAACCAACTATATATCTATTCACTTTGTGTTAAGAAACTAAAAACATATCGAAGTTTCATCTTTTTATTGATTTATCCTCAATTGTATGACCTTTACTTCTTACTAAATGACCAATGTTTTCTTTTTAAAAAAAAAATAATGATAATTATGTGTGTCACCTAACATAAAAGTATAAAATTTTGAGAAAACTATATACACGTATGGTAATATATTATATCCACCTAACAAAATTTAAGAAAATCACGAGTGACTTAATATTTTCTAAATCATTGTTTAAAGGTGTTCATGGAACACAATTTATTGAATTGAGATAACACTAAATATAGCAAATATCTGTTTTTCCCTTACAAATTTCCTTATTGGTCTATGCCTAGCACTATATTAGGAATGTAACAAATGATAGACATCTTTAAGGTAGCTGAAATTTTGAAATGGAATGATGCCTATGCATTTCCTTGTTTCCAAAAAAAGTAAAATGCATGTGGAGCCATGCATGCAAGGGATCTTAAACATGAAAAGTTTCACTATTAATCTGAGAGATCATCTCAACCAAATCCAGCTCCTTCTTAACTTCAACTTCCAACATCACTGGTTGCATATCTGTCTCAACATGATTCTCATCTCCATTAATAGCTGCAAAACACTCTATTCCTACATATTCGAAATGCTGCATTCCCTCCATCATAGGATCACATTGCAATGTTCCTTCACAATTTTTGTTATCCATGAAAGGAACACAAGGCACACCATCTAGAAGGGAATGAATACTGCAATCTTCTTCCAAGAGATTCTCACCAAAGAGAAAATCTGGGACCACATTGAAATCAGAATCTGGTGGCAATTCAATGGCAGAAAATTGAGAAGCTGTCTGGGGCAAAGCTGGTGCAGTGGATTTGCTTGTGCTGGTTTTGATAGCATGGTTAGCAGAAGATTTTCTCCTATAATCTATTGGGGGATTCTTGTCTAAGTTCAAGCTCTTGATATACTCTTGTAGAAGAGTGCCTCTGGGGTACTTGGATCTGCACTTTCTTTTGGAATATTGCCTTCTCTTGGTTGCATTCCAGTGGTTTTTGATCGAGTTCTCAGTTCTTCCAGGCAACCTTTTAGCAATCTCTGCCCATTTGTTTCCTACCTCAGCATGAGCTTCTATTAGTATTTTATCATCTTCACAGTTCCATGTGTCCTTCTGCATAATGCCACAATAAAAATTCAAAACATAAATGTCCAAAAGTTCATTTTATAACTTGCTAGAACTTTGACATCTTAACGTTAAAATCCCAGAATTCATCAATTGCATCACAAAAAGAAAAAATTAAAGTAAAAGAATACAGAACATTGAACCATCAAATCTATTATAAAACTTATACTTCAATAAAGTCGATAAACTATTATGAAAAAAATCTAAATAAATATATTTATGTAAAATATTAAATCATTTATATTATTCTTTATAAATGAAAATTAAATTAATTAATTTATTAATACAATAATTTTATTAACCAAAAACATAAAAAATTTGAACTATATATATATATATATATATATATATATATATATATATATATATACAAAAATGTAATATATATAAAAAATGTAAATACCCATGTCATTTTTAGAGACTCTAAAAAACCATTAAAAATATTATGATAGACTAAAGAAAACTTGTAACAAGATAAATTGTGTACGTAAATCATGATAAAAAAAAATAATTTTACCTTAATATCAGGCCTTAGATGGTTATGCCATCTCTCTCTGCACTGTTTGCCAATTCTTCCAGGCAGTATCTTAGCTATATGAGACCACTTCCTCAAACCGTATTGTTCCACCAGTTGAATCAATAATCTGTTCGTGCAAACACAGATCCATATTTTTAAAAGAAATTGAAACACATAAAATTCCATTTTGTAAACAAAGAATATAGTGTAAATGTTTAAAAAAAGATTTGTGACCACTATTTCGACTGTAGTGATGATTTTTGCAACCTGAATTATAGTCATATATATATCAGCCAAAACTAGTACAACGAAACTGCGACCAACAAATAATTAAAAACCATGATGTAAATGACCAAAATGATAGATTTCATGAAATTATGTTTTATTTTTCAGATTTTTTACCCATCTTCTTCTATTGTCCAATGCCCCTTTACTGTGTTGGACTTCTTGCGAACTTTGGACGTTCTTCGAGTGGTTGGATAGGATTTATTATTTTTGTTAAGGCCAATTCTTTTGTAATAATTCATGGGGGATATGCATGAAACTTCATCTGGCAAAGAAAAATTGGAGGGTTTGATTTCTTGAGGACTAAAAGGCAAAAAGCTTTGATCTGCAACCATCAGATCTAGTTCAACATTCCTTTGAGGGAGAATCAAGTTATGATTTCCATAAAGGAAATTGTCCATGACATGAGTATGCCTATTCTCCACAAAAGGCTTGCTCTCGTATACATCTAAAGCAGGTGATGAACCTGTAAAGGTGAAATTTTCAAAAGCATCAAAAGTTGGGTTCTGGATTATTGAATTATTGGATGAGGGCACATTGAAGTGAAACTGATCAATATGGTGAAAATCTTGCAAGCATTCTTGCGATAAAGGATTTCCCAAAGGAATCATATCTTTCAGACAGCTTTCTTGCAAGGGCTGTGGGACAAAGGTTTCTTTGAACAGTGTCTCAATATCCATGGATATGAGAGCTAGAATGGATTCAAGGGTTGATTCACACCTTGAACAAAAGTTTAACCCTACTGATCTAACTTTATATTTTCGATCAACATTTCATTCCGTAAACTACGTTGGTAACCGGCACTTCATTAATAAAAACATTTATGTTTTCTGTCCGTTACTTAACCACAAGTCAACACAAATGAGGTGGGAAAAACCATTAATATAACTTTTATTTCATTACTTTTTTTTTATTATATTTATTATATTTACATATATAATATCACGTGCTATGGTTACAAAATATGTTTTGTACATTATGAACTAACCGCAAACGTTAATATCTCATTTATATTGTTCAAAATGTAACTCTCACTTTAAGAGTTACTCTATTGTACTCTTAAGAGTTACTCTAGTCGGTATATAGCCAGTAAATAAACTAGTTACTCTATTGTACATTCGAAAATAGAGTTCACTTGTACTTAAGCAGATGATCTAAATATTTAGGATTATGATGTTTTAATATCCAACCATTTTTTACATGCATACTTATGCTACATGAGAGTGTAAATTAATGTCTAATTTAACTACCGATAAATTAATGTCTAAATTATTTTTTATATTTGTTTATGCTGAAAGGGACCGAAGGAAACTCTTGCGGCTACCGCTCGGGAACACTCCGACGCTCAAGTTAGAATTTATCTCCACAAGTCTAGTAAAATTTAGCAAAATCAGACTTAACTCCTTAATCCCCTGTTATTTATAGGGTTTCAAGGAATATTATCTATTAATTTACCTCTTAATGACGATCAATGCTCACCTTAACTGCTCGACAATGACCGTTATCTCATTAATTATGCATTCATTGACATTCAAAAGGTTGTCTCCAGCCAACGGCTGGAGAGTTCGCGAGTATCACCTTGGCGTCCGACCGGGAATGATCGACTTCCATCACCCTTACATACCTGGTCGGTCTGATTCATACTTCCATCGTCCCTAGACGATCGGTCCAAACTACTCAGTAGCGACTAAGCATATCCGGTTGGTCCATCCTACTCGGTAGTAACACAAGTCCCCCAAGCCCTAGCAAAATATTTTTGCGTAGGGTTTTGAAGTGGTCTCCGATCGGTTCGCATCTTCTCTTATTAAGGCCTTCAACTGTGTTGTCGATATTTGCAAGGGCGGGAAGTCGTAGAGTCACGATTGTAAAATTTAGGCGGGAAAGGCGAAAATGAACTGTCAGATCGCCCAGACCGTCAGATCATTTTGTGTTTGACGCTCCAGATTTGCTTGGTGAATCGCTTTTTACCCTGTATAAATAGCCCCGCCTTTGCCCTAATTTTTTACTCCTTTCTTTTCGCCGTCGTTACTATCTCGTGCTTTACTTTCTCGTACCTATCCTCCTCATCTTCATCCTCTCAAGTAATCATGTCTTCTAATTTCTCCGGCGAAGAGGGTAGGGGGTACGCCGACGATGATGTTAGTACTCCATCTTCCTCCTCGGGTGCCATTGCTTGTCAGGGTGCTGTGGCTTCCCCTTCAGGGAACTCCTCCGATCTCCTAGCGGATAGCAATGCTCCTGAGGAAGTCGCCATCTACGTGGACTCCTCCGGCGCTTGGGATGGTAAACCTAGAGTTTGGCCTGTTGTCCCTGGCTAAGAATGGGTTCCCCATGAGGTTAGGCAAATTTCTTTCTTCCTTCCACCATCGCCGCCCATTTAGGGAGTTGATCAGTAATATTTGTCTGGTAAAGGCTGCTGAAGACGCTAGACATTTTAAACTACCCGTTTGCCAAATGACCGAGCGCGTATGCCACGATCGGGGGAATTACCTCACCGACTTCTTTTATGCTTATGCTACTATGTTTAAAGATTTAAAGGTTCTCCTCCCTTTTTCGGACTTCCAAATGGGCGTTCTGAGGGAGCTTAACGTGGCTCCCACTCAGCTGCATCCGAACGGTTGGACATTTATGCAAGCGTTCTCCGCCATCTGTATCGGCTTAGCCCTTAGCCCGACTCCTGGGGCTTTCCTCTACTTTTTTAAAGTACAGCCTCATCCGACCAAGCCTTGGGTTTCCCTTCGCACGATCGGGAATAGACATCTGTTGTCCTTGGACTTCTCGTCCTCCGTTCCTCCTTAACAAACCTTTTTAGGTGACCCGCCCGGATAAGCTCCTCCACTTTATCTCTCAACACCGTGCAGTCTTCGGTGCTATGTCATATGTTTAGATGATAGGTACAATGTTTAGTCCCGTCAGCTTTGGGTGATGACCGAGAAGGTCTTAAACGAATAAGATCTGCGCTCAGGGCTTCTTCCAAAACTCTAGCCCTTGGCATATTTAACGGGGTGTACTTTTCGAATCTAGCCCCTTTCGGGCCATCTTTGTACTTCTAGCCCTTTGGCCATTAGACAGGTACGAACGATTTTTTGCCTTCCTTCTTCTCCTGCCTTGAAGAGCTCTGCTCCTGCTGTCGCCTCTGAACCGCCCTCATCTCCTCTATTCTGATGAACCGAGCGGCTATTTCTTGTAACTTATCCAGGGTTAATGGGGGTTCTGCAAACAGATTATAGGCGAAAGGGGAAGGCCTCAACGCGGTGGCCAGAGTGCTAATGGTAAACTTCTTGCCTACTCCCCTTACTTGCCGAGCGGTCTTATTAAAACGGTCCATGAAGTCTCTAAGACTTTCTCCCTTCTTTTGCTTTATATTCGTCAACTCCAGATACGTCAAATTGCGAGCTCTACCCGCAGAGAACTGTCGTTCGAACATGTCCCTCAAGGTAGCGAAATTACTGATGGTTCGAGGTCTCAGTGAATGGAACCATGCTAATGCTTCTCACTTTATTGACAAGGAAAAAACTCTACATCACACATTTTCACTGGGGGAGTAGATGGTCATGGCATCAACGAAGGATCTCAAATGCTCTTCCGGATCACCTGACCCATCATACTTCTCTAGGACCGGGAATGCCCTCTCCGGAATTTACTCCTCCATGACTGTCGTTGTGAACGGATGTAGAGCTCTCGCTCGGCCGGCTAGGATCGGACGGTTTGCGGTCCGGCACGAGCCAGCCTCGCTCTGATCCTCCCCATGGTAATGACTTCCTTCGGCAGGATCCGTGTCCTCTTCCGAGTCCAGCTCCGTTTTCGGCATTTCTACGATAGGTGGTGTTGCAGCGCATGCGGAAGATTGACGGTTAGCTTGCGCCCCTCTAGCCACATCACGCTCGCCCCTAAGGGTTTCAATCTTTGCCTACATTGCCTCCATCCTTCTTCTCATCTCCTGCATAAACGCTGCCGGGTCCTGTTCCATCCTTATGGTCTTAATAGGGTGTTTTCAAAAATCCTCGGCCCCACAGTGGGCGCCAAAATGTTTTTGCTGAAAGGGACCGAGGGAAACTCCTGCGGCTACCGCTCGGGAATGCTCCTCCTTCACCGATCGGTCCTTCTCGCTCCTGTCCTACCTCCTGATTCTTCCTCTCTCAATGCCAAAGTGGGGTGACCTGCAGGAAACACTCTGACGCTCAAGTCAGAATTTATCTCCACAAGTCTAGTAAAATTTAGCAAAATCAGACTTATCTCCTTAATCCCCTATTATTTATAGGGTTTCAAGGAATATTATCTATTAATTTACCTCTTAATGACGATCAATGCTCACCTTAACTGCTCGACAATGACCGTTACCTCATTAATTATGCATTCATTGACATTCAAAAGGTTGTCTCAAGCCAATGGCTGGAGAGTTCGCGAGTATCACCCTGGCGTCCGACCGAGAATGATCGGCTTCCATCACCCTTACGTACCCGGTCGGTTTGATTAATACTTCCATCGTCCCTGGACGATCGGTCCAACCTACTCAGTAGCGACTAAGCATATCCGGTCGGTCCATCCTACTCGGTAGTAACAATATTAAAATTAGAGACTAAGGTAGAAACTGATAATAGTAAGTACTTAAAACTTTTGTAGGCAATTTTAAAGACAAATTTACACTCTAATTTACAAATTAAGTCTGATTTTTATTCATAATAAATATTATTTTAGATACTAATGTTTTTAGTTTATAATTTAGCTTAATCAATATCATAACTAATTATTTTAGTCCTTGGTTCTTATTTTTTTTTGTAGTGTTTATACAATTGGGTAGCATCCAACCTTTTCTACACCACATCGTCTGCTCGTATGCTCCTGTGTAGCACCAACACATGATTATAGTAGAAACAAACATAAACACAAAATGTAGGGAAGCTATAACATGAATAAGCACATAGACAAACCATAACCATACAGTTTTCCACACATCACACATTCAATAACAAGTATGAGTACTCATTTATTATGCATTCCATACTTGATCTTACAATGTACTTTCGAGGATTTTGTGCACTGAATTGAGTCTCGGGAGATTATGCATATCATATGACCTTCCTCCTTAGTGATCAAGTGGTACCTTGTTCCGTAAACTAGTAAATAAATAGTTTTTTAACTCCCACATTATGCTTCGGTTTAAAAAAAACCAAAGCGTATAAAAATGTTGTGGCAATTTCGTAATTCTTGTGACACTATATGTCTCGGTTCAGTTCGAATCGATGCCTAAGGGGATATACTATCTCGATTTTCTGACCAACCGAGGCAAAAAAACCTTGACAATTTTTTCAAAATAGGCTTACTTCCTTGGTTCTTTGACTAACATAGACACAAAACCCTGACAACATTTTCGACATAAGCCTACTACCTCGATTCTCTGACCAATCGAGGAAGTATGTCATGCCAGAACTGATTCTGAACGTTTCAAATCCATTTTGTCAACTTCTACTACCTCGGTTCCATTTTAACCGATGTCATAGGCCCTTTATGCCTTAGTTTACGCATCGGTTGTTTTTATAATCGAGGTACTAGTCTCTTGGATAGTTAAATTCAAGAAGCGTAAGCACATTTTCGGTCTTTTTTCTTCTTCTTTTTCCGCCAGAGAACATGAAGTGTTGCTTCCAATCTCTCCCGAACAGTTTGCCTCTTCGTCGTCGCT